AATATTTTATGTGTGCGAAGATTTTATTTAGCTCACGCTCACGTATTTACAACAACATTTATAGTTACATGTAATTTACTCTAAAATTATGCCAGTCGGATAGATTGTAAATTAAAGAACAATATAGGCGACAGGCCAATTGCAGCTAAAAACACGTCGACAGAGCTGGTATCTTTATAAACAGCGATTGCATTGAGTGATTATTTAGTACTCTAACGAAAAAAATAAAATCAAAAACTTTACCTGAAACGGAGGTTTGCTCACTTAACAATAAAGGTAGAGTAATTTTTAAGTTAAAATTGATATATTTAAATGAATCGAAAGAGAAGTAGAGACCAAACACGTCGAGTTTTGTCCCAAGAGCGTGTGATTTACAGTAGGAGTACGGCAAGAAAATGACCGAAGTCCGTGTAAATGCACGTTATATATTTTGGTCTGGCGCGCTCGCTTTTCACGGGCCAAAGATAATGTTTTTACATGATAAAAACAAAGAATTTCTCGTCGAAAAGAGCTCTTTTATTTTATGTACATTCGTATACCCCTGATGTTATGGTGGTCTGAAATATGGCAAAATTGAGCGTACAAACGGAATAGAAAATATAGTGTACTTTACGCGGGTGGTTACAAACGAAAAAAAAGTTCATTTGGAGATGAAATATAGTTAGAAAGCTGCTCCAAGGGATGAAAAACAACTTATGAAAAAATGAATCCAAGATAATTTTTCGTTGTCTTGTTGGAGCGTTGTGAAAATGCACTGGAAGCCCGATAGAAATTATGCAAATTAGGTACGTTTTGGCCGATTTCAAACTTTCGTATTTTTTGCCAAAATAAAGACTCGCTGGAACTCTTGAATGTCATTTTTGAAAACAGTTCACCAAAAGGGTCTTTTGGAGGAAATTTAAAAAAAGCTGAATTTTTGCTTCTGTCGCCGGATTCTTGAAAATTACTGACAACCTCTCTTAATAGCATAAAAAGGAAAAAAAGGAAAGAAAAGAAAAGAATGAAAATTACATCGAAAAATACTGGTAGGGGTACCAATTGTTCGAGTTTAAGTCTGTCCTCTTTAAAAATCCTTCATAGCTAACAACTATTCAGCGAGGTGGAGGTAGCTTGCGGTAGATATTTACCAAGCTGCAAAACGGCGAATGAAATATCCACCACTAGCCACCGATACTGATGTGAGTAGTTGTTTTGGTGTATACTAAAACAGTGAGATAAAACAGCAAAAATTGATTTTTTTAACTTCTTTATACCTGCAACTATTATAATGCTTCCGGGTGCAAAGGTTAAATAACCTTAGATATCGATATATAAAAAAAGTCGTTTGAATCAAATCGCTTAAAAAAATAGCATACAATGAACGTGAAAGAAGCATCACACAAACTTCCTCTTTCTTCCGTTGTGAAAGATCCATGTCCGGATATAATGTAATACTAATCACCTTTATATTTTAGGCCCTTATATCAGAGTATGAGAAAAGAGATGAGTTTTTTTCGAGCCTCTTATTCTCTGAACTTTGTTGTCGTATACCATACAATTAAAAATATTTCAACTTATTTTTGATAGGCAGTTGAACAACAACCAGCTGAAGAATTTACCATCGGGAGTTTTCAGTAACAATATCAAGATGGAAAATCTGTAAGTTTGGAGTCTTTCTTAATATTGGTGTAAGGGGTACGCATGGAATCCAACCTGGAAAGTAGGCATTTTGATGCGTGGGTGCTGTCGCATCTTATGGGTTATATCCTAATAAAGCGGCATTAACACTTGGACTTACAAATGTCCTTTGAGACAAGCATTGGTTTCGGAAAATTCGTTCCGTGATCGATATCCACAAGGAAAAAGAAATTGTAAACAGGGGCTTGAGTAACAAGTAGCTGAACGACTTGTCACGAGACCTTTTCAGGAACAATACTCACCTGGCTTGGCTGTAGGCTAAGATGAACAGATTATGTTGTGTGCATTTCAATTTAAAAGGGCAGTGATATCCTAACAGGGACTGACAATGATATGTCGATAATAAATATTAGTATTCGTCATTAGGCGTTTTGAAAACCAAGGGTATTCAACACAGTAGCAACTCTCACCTGGGGTGGCTGTAAGCTAAATTCGTGTCCTCATTCCATTGATTAATTAACAGCTTCATAAATTCGCATTTCAAACTGCGCCTATTTAACACATATGTAGCAACATCTTAATTAGGACTTGGGTTACAACCGACGAAGAGACTGGCCACAGAAAGTTTGCAGGAGCAATAAACAACTTTGATTGTTAACTAAGAACCTTTTCCTTAATCTACTGGGTGGGTTAAGCAGGATCTGAAACTGATTTCAGCTTTAACAAAAGATTCAATCGAATTCTTTTTCTCAAGGTTGTGATGACTGGATGCTCTAAAAGCGGTATAGAAAATTATCCTAAAAAGGCTTTTGAATGAAGGAATAAAGAAACCCGGATTAAAATGTAACCATAGGTTAGCGCTAATGGGGCTTCAAACAACTGGGTCCTGATGAATAAAAGGGTATCTTATCTGCATTATAACCCGTTCATGTTGAACATAGTTGAACATTGGAAAAATTTCTTGGTGTGTAGTTGAGTAAACAACCAGCTGCATAGCTTTCCGTTAGACATACTTTCGGCTTAGTGAAATGGAGGCCGGGGTGTAAAAAAGTAAGAGATTGTAAAATCTTAAAAATAGTCAATTTTATCCAAAGAATGGCGAATTTCTAAACACTTAAGTTGATGGATGTTTGTTTTAACAGCACAATACAATTTCTGATTTATCGATGTATTCCTTCCAAACTGGTGTAAAAACAGGAGTCTAACCTCTAGAAGGTTGCAGATGTCAAAGAAAAGCTAGATATATGGCGATAAAGCAGGGCTTGCTCTAAAGCTTTAATTTCTATTTTTTTCCTTTTATAATCTTATAAGTATATTACATCCTACAACGATTTGTGTTGCTATTTACTCCGTAGAGGAATTTTAGTGTTCAGTTGTTTTCGATGGTTCGAATAAAAAAGCTCTCAAAGTCATTTTGTTCTACAGTATAGCTCGTTTTCTTATCGCAGACTTAAAAAAAGCATCGCTTTATTGACGCTAACAGTCTGTTTGCAAGCATTTTATGTGTTTCCTGACCTTCCTTAATTGGTGTAACCTACTAAATACCGCCTTTAAATGATTTTTTGTTAGGCGGTTGGACAACAATCAGTTGAAGGGATTACCATCAGACATTTTTAGCAAAAACACCTTGTTATCGGACTTGTAAGTTTATACCCTTCTTTATTTATTTAAAAGACGCCTTAAATCCAAATCTACTGAACATACAATAATGCCTTATCTCCAAATGACCGATATGTCCTCTTTCCTCTAATGCTGATGTACAGCAACCTTGTTCCTACCTCTCCCTATGTGCCACTCCTCGTCTCATGAAATGTTAATTTTTTTTTTTTTAGTGTTCAGTTGTTTTTAATGCTTCGAATAAAAAACCCTCAAAGTCATTTTGTTCTACAGTA